TCTCCCAACAAATGTGGCATAGAGGGGTTAATCCTCCATCATGCCAAATAACAGTTTCATTGCCAGTTCCTTTCAAAGAACCACTATGTATGTGCCATATTAAAGGTGTTTTAGAAACTTTATTAATAAAGTCTCCATGAGGGTCTAATCCACTGTCTTAAAGTCTGTATGATTTAACGATATCTTAGGCCGTTCTCCTTGACAATGAGCCCATACCAATTATTGCATTCCGGGATCTACATTAGGGAGTGGGCAAATAGATAACAGGGTAGAAGCGGTCTCAGAGATATTACCAACTTTCCCTCTAAAGCCTCTTGCAGAAATAAGAACCGTAGTTGCTGCAAAAGAATGATTATACCTCACTCCCCAAACCTCATGTGAATAAGATAAACAATGAGAACCATATCTTGGGAAAACAGGGAATCCCCTCACCCCTAAGCTATAATTATTAATATGCCTGTCCTCTGTCCTCTTCTTCAGCAAAAGGAAAAGGGAAAATTTTAAAACTCTTGCAGAAATTTGAGTGCGGGACTTCTTAGCCATCTCTCCGTTTCAGAAGTCGGGTTGGCAACCACTCAGCTGTGGAATCTGTGGAGATAAGAGCAAACCCTCGACCCCAATGTAAAATCTCTCCTTCCGTGGTTCTATAAAATATTGGTTCTGGAGGGGAGCACTTTCTTTTAGGCTTAGGAAAATGAGATAGGGTTGCAGAGTTCTCCAGTGCCTGTCACTGATTTTAGCAGACAGTGTGCTTTCCACCAATCATAGCACCAGCTATAGCCCCTGCAAACAACTCAGCTTGTTACGCAGTTCTGCCGATCCCCGCACGAGTTCTGATATGGGAAAAGTTATTATTCCTGGATTGGGAGGCAGCTCCTCCCTGTGTTTTGGCCTTGCGAAAGTGAAAGTACCTCCGGGCAATGGAGCAGCTAAAGGGCTGTTAGCAGAATGACATTTAAGCATTTGTTTTAGCAATTTTATAATCTCTTGAACGTAATTTCTTTCTATCACAACATCTGATTCTTTCTTTGCTAATTCTGGACCTAATTCCGTCTCAGCTACTTCTGCATACCCCTCTTCCTCCCTTTGGATTCCATTCTCTCTCTTATCTTTATCACTTTCTTCACCTTTCTCCGAGTCTGTCTCTACTAACTGTAAAGCTTGAGTAGTAGCACTACACAAAGACCATAGCTTTAAACTCATAGTCTGTCGCCGCTGTTGAACAGCGTGTAATGATTTTACTACTTGTTGCCATGCTTTCGAATTCAATTGAACCTTTTCTTCACTGTTAAACCAATAACCAAGTTGCTGTACATGCGCAAATAATTCTCCCAATAATTTATCTTTAACCTCCACCCCTGTAGAATGGAGAAGTCCTTTTATCAACTTTTGGTATTCGTGTTCCATGGACAGGGAATTTCCCATTTTTTCTTTTTCCTTTTTTCTTTCTTTTTCTTCTCTTCTTCCCCCCACCGAAAGTCCCTCTTTTACAGAGGCACTCCCTTCCAGTTTTCCCTGCTTCACACAGGTTAAGTTATTAACTCCAAACGGCCCTCTTGCCTAGGATCCACGCTATCCCTAATTAAATTCCACAGGCAAAACGTATCTATGGGGACCTTGCTAGGTCCATTATCTGCATCTTTTAGT